CCCTCCCAAAGCCTGTAAGGCAGATGATTTCCACTTAACTCTTCTCTACATTGATTACATTCATTGTTTTGACAAAAGATGCACCATTATTGTTTAGAATTTCCCCCCCCAACAATCAGAATTGCTGATCGAACCATGGTCAGAATTGCAGAATAGTGGCCTTGTGATTTTGGATTTCTGCAAAGAGCCAGATCATTATGACACTGGTTTCTGTGTGCCTGGTGTTATGGCTGTGCTGGAAAGCCACTCGTGGGTGGCTACTTGTGATCTCGGTAGGGTGTGAAGGATGAGCCAGAACTCTCCCCCTTCCCATGAGACTGCAGTTGCCCCATCACCACCGGCTCACACCTGGCTTTCCTATAAGCTCTGAGGTGGCAGCCACCTTGCTGCTGCGGGGGGTGGGGGGAAGGTGGAAGGGAGCAATACCCTTTCCCTCCCGGTGAGGCATGGCACCCTAGTTTAATGCATGGTCCATTCACTTTTCTGCTGCAAGATGCCGGGCTCTGGATTAAGTCCTTTTGCCTCTGGAGCCATGGCTGTACCGGAGAGCCGCTTGTGGGGGGCAACTTGTGACCTCGGTAGGGCGTGAAGGACGAGCCGGTACCACCCCCCTTCCCATGAGACTGCAGTTGCCCTGTCACCACTAGCTCATACCTGGCTTTCTAAGAAGCTCTGAGGTGGTGGCCACCTTGTATGTGGTCCAAATGCATTTCTGTCAAAAGTTGCTAGGTTTTGAGATTTGTTTCTGAGTCTCTGGGATCATGGCCATTAATGAGCTTGATCAGCAGCCAGAGAGGCTGTTTGTAGGCGGCGACTCGGGGTCTCGCTGGGATGGGGAGGAAAGGGCTGATTCCACCCCCATCTGGTGAGGCCCCGCATGTCTTGTCACTGCAGGCCCAAACCTGACTGTCCAGTGACCTCTGGAAGATGGTGGTCACTGGGCCGCCAAAGGGAACAGGCCAAGGCACGAAACCTATTTCCACTTGGAGAGGCCCAGCGCCAGTAACCTACTCCAGGAACAGGATGCATTTCTGCCAAAAACTTTTGGGTTCCGAGATTCATTTCTGAGTCTCTGGGACTATGACCGTTAAGCAGTTCGCTCAGGAACCAGAGAGGCCATGCCTCCAATTATATAGCTGAGCCAGAGATGGTTTGTGGGTGTTTCTCCCACATACCTAACTTTTGGCCATTTACTTTCTTAGTAAACTTTGCCCCAAGTTTTTGGGGTCTGGCCAAAGGCACAGCAACAATTTTGGGGTATCTGAAAGTCTGATGGTGCCATCAGGCTGCTGATGCACTCGCCGCACAGGTACAGATTGACCTGCTGGTGGCACCATACCCCCTTATGTTTTTAAAGAATATTTTAAACATTTTTAGCCTACCCCCTTTTTTGGCATTTTAATTTAGGCACATGGGTTTACAATATTGTTACTCATACTTTTCATGTAGGAGAATGATACCCATCATTGTTACAAGGTTCTCCTAAAGAGCCTTGAATATAATTTCAGGGCTAGGATGAAAGAGACTTTACAGGGGCCTGCTCGAGGCAATCGACGAATAACAGGATGATGAAAAAATGAAACTTTTCATATATAATATCACTCCCACCACCAGAGACCCCACTTCCCTCTGCCATGTCCCAAAGACCCCTCCCCCTCCAAGTAAGTTCTGTTCTATAGACAAAATCTTCAGTTCTATTTTGACAGTTATTATTCCCTTACTATATTTCTGTTTTGGGCCGGTACTTAGAATTTACTCCTGGCTCTGCACTCAGGAATCAGTCCTGGCATTGCTCAGGGGACCACACAGGGTGCCAGGATCAAACCCAGATTCCATACATTGGGAAATGCTGTAAAGTCCAGCTTCAAATGCCTGCAGAATCCAGTCAGTTCCATTATTTCACCTGTTCACACCCCAAAGCCCTCAACATCTCTTCCCTGGAATCTGCACCAGTTTCCCAGTTCCCTGCAGTTCTTTGTCCCCTCACCTGTCCATCTGCACAGCAGCCAGACTGAACACCCAGAAATAATTGCACCAGCCTCAACTTTCATTCAAACCTGCCTGTAGCTGCCCCTCTTAGATAAAAGGCAAATCTTCCAGAGTCACAGCAGCCTCGTGACCTGAAGGCACCAGGACCTCATCTCAGTGACTGCTCCAGCCACACTGCTGCCTCCTCTTCCCTGACACAGACTCGCGCCTGCCCTGGTGCATTTACACTGACATTCCCTGCATGGCCCCAGATACCCACACAGACAGACCCTCACATCATTCCATATTCCCTCAAAGGTCGCCTTCCTGTGGAGCCACACTGACAGGGCAAGGAAAACAGCCACTGTCCCAGTCCCCACACTCTTATAAGTGGGTCCCATTCCCCGCAGATTACCAATTTCAAACCAGGACATTCGCTTTGGTTATTATATTTTCAGCCGTAAGTCTGTCCCTTCCTATTAAAGCTCAAAGGCTGGTAAATTTTGCCTGATTTTCTTATATTTTTCTTTTTTATTGAATTATCATGAGATACAGTTACAAAGCTTTCATGTTTCAATCTCCACACTCTTTCCTCTAAGGACACTTTTTTTGTAGCATTTTATCCGTTTTTTGTAGCAAACAATACAAAATATATTATTTTGGTTTTGCTTTGGGGCAGGGATTGAAATTCGGGATAGAAACACCCATAATATGGTAGTGAAAATGTGTAATGGTGGTGGGATTGTTGTTTGAATATTAAATGTAATGAAATATTGTGAACTACTTTTAAAAAAGCAAAACAAACAAAGCACGCTTTCATATTTGAATTTCAGTCATAAAATGATCAGATACCCATCCCTCCACCAGCAACCATTCTTACCACCAATGTCCCCCCTTTCTAACCCTCCCCCTGCTTCCATGGCAGACAATTTCCCCATATTCTCTCTCTACTTTTGGGCATTGTGGTTTAGTTTTGCCTGATTTTAATTCTCTGTTGTTTGATGGACCCCAAAATAACCCCATATCTGCACAGTGGGTAGACAGAGGATCAGTGTAGACTATAGTAGAGACACTGTCTATTTCATGCAACATCAACCGACATACTGTGCTGTAGCAGCTACAATGTCTACTCCAAGTGACATCGATGTCACCTCCACTTTTCTCACAAGAGCTTCTCACCCTCCCTTTACCTCCCTCCCACACTAACACCCCACAGCTCACAGCACTCTCTCTTAGAAGAGGATCTTGGGTTCAAGATCCCATTTTCTAACCCCTAAGTTTGAAAGTAGGTGGGATGGCTGAATTCCAACATGGCAAGTCTGAAAACTCATCTCTCTTCTTTTTTATTAAAAAAATTTTTAATAGTGAGACATCATGAGGTACAGTTGCAGACTTACACATTTTTGGGCTTGGGTTTCAATTATACAATGATCAAGTACCCATCCCTCCACCAGTGCCCATTTCCCACCACCACGGATCCCAGTATCCCTCCCACCCCCATCCCCCCCATCCCAACCTGTCTCTGTGGCAGGGCATTCCCCTCTGTTCTCTCTCTCCTTTTGGGTGTTGTGGTTTGCAAAAGAGACATTGAGTGGCAATCATGTTTGGTCTATAGTCTACTTTCAGCATGCTTCTCCCATCCTGGGAGGATCTTCCCAACACCTTTATTTGGTGTTCCCCTCTTTATCTGAGCTCCCTTTTCCCCTAGTATGTGTGGTTGGCCTCCAAGTCATGGAGTAAAATTCCTGGTACTAATCTCCGCCATTCTTGTGTGTTAGTTTCCTATTTTGTTACTTTATGTTCCCCAGATGAATGCAATCTTTCTGTGTCTATCCCTTTCTTTCTGAGTCATTTTGCTTAACATGATACTTTCCATGTAGTACCACTTGCATGTAAATTTTGTGACTTCGTCTTTTCTAACAGCTACATAGTACTCCATTGTGTAAATGTACCAAAGTTTCTTTAACCAGTCATCTGTTCTTGGGCACTCAGGTTTTTTCCAGATTCTGGCTATTGTAAAGAGTGCTGCAATAAACAGACAATTGCAGATGTCACTTCGACTACACATTTTTGCCTCTCTCGGATATATTCCCAGGAGTGGTATTGCTGGATCAAATGGGAGCTCAATTTCTAATTTTTTGAGAATCATCCATACTGTTTTCCAAAAGGGCTGAACCAGTCGGCATTCCCACCAACAGTGAAGGCGTGTCCCTTTCTCACCCCATCCGTGCCAGCACTGGTTCTTGTGGATATGGGCCAGTCTCTGTGGTGTGAAGTGATATCTCATTGTGGTGAAAACTCAACTCTTGATACCACAGAGGCTACTGTGTGCAGGGTTCAGGCTGGTCTTGAGGGGACAGTGAGAGGCAAATGCTTCCTGAGGCTCAGAGATGGGAACACACACTGAGAGAATGAGCTATGAATGTGTGTACAAGAGAACAGGCAGTCTACTGCACAGAAGTAACATAGAAACACCCAGATGGGGCTGAGGAGCAGGCTCAGGACTGAACCTAGACTGACCAGCACAGAAGCCCTCACTGCCCACGGTTCTGGGACAGGATGAGGACAAGTGTGACCTGAGTCCCTGTGAGCAAGGGCCTGTGGGACGTGGTACTACTGAGGGACCAGGACAAGGAGGAGGAGAGATGACCCAGACAGATGAGTGACCACATCAGAACCCACAGTGGCTGAGACAGAGACAGACTGGGCAAAGGTCTGTCTCCCTGCTCCCCCCACCCACCCGCCATCCCCTCAAGCCTCTCCTGTCACATCTGGGACAGACTCAAATCAAAACAGAAAACACATGGAAGGTCTCAGGATTTCCATTTGTTCCTTCTCAAATTTCAGGGATTTCCTTTATTAACCCTCAATCCCACAAAACAGGAATTAGAAAAAGTGCAAATCAGATGCTTATTTCAGTAAGGGAGAAACATTATTCAGGAAAACAAGAAGCTAACACATGGAGACGGCTGACTCCTGTCTCTGCTGGCACAGCCCAGAGCATCAGCAAGAGAACGCAGGTCAGTGTGGGGAGGGCCCGGTGGGCAGGGGTGGGCCAGTCTCTCCCATCACCGTAAGTGGCAGGACAGACACACTCAGGTCCCAGGGCAGAAAGAGAATCAGCAGTTCTTGAATAACAACACTGGGATGTGAGGAAACCCAGCGGGGCAGCTGTCTCACACTGTAAGAGAAAAGAATGAAGAGACTCAGGTGAGTGACAGAAGTGGTGACATCCTGAGCAAGCTCCCAGCATCCCTCTCAAAGAACCGCCAAGCCCAGTCCTGTCCCCTCTGCCTAATCCCACCCATTCCAGCCTCCAGAGTCTCACCTCTAGGATTCGAGAGAGACTCATCAGAGCCTTGGGAACTGTCGCTGTCTGGGGAAGAACAAACAGGGCAAGGTCAGAGCCACAGGGGTTAGGACTAGAGGAGGAACTAGGGGTGCAGGAGCTCCCAATCCCTATCCCCAGGATTCCAGGGCCCCAGCCCTGCCCACACTTACTTGCAGCCTGAGTGTACTGTCCTCCTTTCTCACCTGCGGGAAGGAAACATCCCAGGGAAGGTGAGGAAGAGCACTGGGTCCTGAGGCCACAGAGCAGCTCTCTAGGCCTGGACCCCAGGGAAGTGTCAGAACTCTGAAGACTGAGGGCAGGACCAGAAAACACGCAGGAAGGAAATACTCCATGACTGAGGAGCCTTCTCCTGGCGGTACGTGCTCAGCAGGGACTGTTTCTATGACCTGGGACACTGGGACCCATGTTCATCCCCTGCTTATGGAGGCGAAAGTGTCTTTCGTGAGCAAACCTGAGAGCGGCACACACAGGGGGAGTGTGAGCAACTGCACAGGGGTGGGTGGTGCTCCTGATAATGCGGCAGGAGAACTAATATACGGGGAACTCTAAAGGGGGACAAGACTCAAGACTTGCCAGGTTGGACAGATTCCCATCACCTGCTTCCCCCGTCTTACCTGAGCGCTTCCTCCTGCTGATCACAACTACCACCACAACTCCAGTGATCACAGCCCCGAGGAGAGCCAGGCCAACAATGATGCCCACAGTGAGGATGGTGGACTGAGAAGGGGGCTCTGGGAAGGAAGAGAGGGTCTGACCCCAGTCTCAGCCTGACCCTCAGTAGTTCCCCAGAGGGGCCAACCCTGATGCCCCTGAGAACAGGCTCTGTGTCCTGTCCCCCTCCTTACCCCATCTCAGGGCGACAGGCTCCAGCAGTCCCTGGTGCTGCACACGGCACATGTATCTCTGCTCCTCTCCAGAAGGCACCACCACAGCCGCCCACTTCTGGAAGGTTCCATCCCCCGAAGGCCTGGTCTCCACCAGCTCTGTGTCCTGGGTCAGGTCCTCCCCATCACGCTGCCAGGTTAGGGTGATCTCAGCAGGGTAGAAGTCCAGGGCCCAGCACCTCAGGGTGACCTCCCGGTCAGAGAAGGGGTGGTGGGTTATGTGTCTCCTGGGGGGTTCTAAGGAGTGAAAATGAGAAAGTTCACACTTTTGGTCACTTGCATAATGGGGTTGAACAGGATCATTGGTTTGGAATAGGAAGCAAAAATCCAGACACAAACTTGGCTGGAGAAACTGGATAAAATCCTATTGCTTGGAAAGTTCTAGAACAGGGTTTGGGTAGGAGGTTAGGGTCTCTAGGACACAGTGACTCTGGTCCTGCCCTGGGAGGAGGGTGAGAGTGAGAGAAGCAGGAGTCAGAGCTAAGACCTGAGCGAGTTCACAGATGGCTGCCGGGTCCAGGAACCCACATTCGTTATTTCAGAGGAGCTCGCCCCTCCCCCAGGGACACTCGGGTCCTTCACAGTCCTGTGGACACAGGGTGGGCCTGAGGGGAGGGCGGGTACAGAACATGGAAACCAGGGGGTCCGTCCCTCTCCTGACTGAGGAAGGGGCGCTGTTCTGACACTGAACCCTCTTGTGTCCCCCCTTGTGGGGAGTCGCCCAGCCAGGGGCGGTCAGGGGTCCTCACCCTCAGGGACCCGGTACCTGCGCGCAGCAGCGTGTCCTTCCCGTGCTCCAGGTATCTGCGGAGAGACTCTAGGCACCTGCCCTCCATGTAGTTCCTCCAGTGCTCAGCCCAACCCTCCTGCTCCCACTTTTGCTGGGTTCGCCAAGCCTGCGTGCCCGCCGCCGCCGTCCAGGAGCGCAGGTCCTCGTTCAGGGCGATGTAGTCGGCGCCGTCGTAGGCGGATTGACGGTACCCGCGCAGGAGGCGCCCGTCGGACCCCACGTCGCAGCCGAACATCCTCTGGTACGTGTGAGAGTCTGACCCGCCCCGCACAGATTAGACTGGAACGAAAACGAAACCGGGGCCCGGTCCCTTCCGGTCAAGGTCCGGGGCGGGTCCCTCAGCCTCCGGGATGCTCGGACCCGCCTCGGGCGACCCGGCCCGTCCCCGTGTTGGCTCGTCCATACCCGGCCGCGCTCACCCGCCTCGCTCTGGTTGTAGTAGCGTAGCGCGGTGTTCAGGTTCGCTCGGAAAGTCTGTGCGGTGCCCTTGGCTCTCCGCGTGTTCCGCTCCCAGTACTCGGGTCCCTCCTGCTCCACCCACGGCGCCCGCGGCTCCAACCTCTGACTCGCGGAGTCGCTGTCGAAGCGCACGAACTCTGTGTCGTCCACGTAGCCGACGGAGATGAAGCGGGAGTCCCCAAGGTCGGGCCGGGACACGCCGGTGTCGAAATACCGCAGGGAGTGGGGGCCTGGGGGAGGGGAAGGGGTGAGACCCGCCGCCCCGCGCGCCCAGGGGCCAGGGTGATGGGGGAAGGTGGAGGGGGGGAGGGAGATAGGAAACCTGGGAGGAACCGACAAGGGCGAGGCTTAGGGGGCGCGGGCGGAGTTGAAGGTTGGGGGGACAAGAAGGAACATTCGGGGGCAGGCACCCGGGCAGGGAACCCCAGAAACTCCTTCTAGGGGGTCCTGCACAGCAATGCCTGGAAATTTCCACCCTTCCCCCCGCAACGAACTCCCCTCCCGACCCCGCACTCACCCGCCCGGGTCTGGGTCAGGGCCAGGGCCCCCGAGAGCAGCAGCAGGAGGGGTCGCACCTCCCACATACTGAAGGAATCAAGTGGATTCTGACTCCCTTGCGATTGCTGGCAGTTTATAACTGGGAGCGTCGCAGACGCTGATTGGCTGATCTAGACAGAAACGCCCAATGGAAGTGAGGACTGGGGTTACGTCACGAATATCCGGGCAGAAGGCACTGACACAGGTTGCTGAGGGAGAAGTGAAACTCTGAGACCAGGAACCCCCAGGACTAATCTCCTGCCCCCAACCCCACGCTGGGGACACTGGGAGCCACACCTGGGACCTGGGACATCGCCCTCTCACCTGCTCCCTCACCTGATCTCTGTCACACTGTCTCCCCGTGTCCAGTGCTGACATTGACTCAGGATTTTCCATGGTTTTCATTTAAGGATCTCGCTAAATCTTACAAGTTCCTGAGTAGCCCAGAGATGCTTCCGTGCGTTCAGGTTATGCCTATCAGTGTTTGCTGTGGGAGGAATTTGAGTTAAAGCCTTTTATTGTTGGTGGTGATGAATTGTTATTATAATTATTATTATTATTTTGGCTTTTGGCCACACCAGGCAGTGTTCAGTTGTAACTCCTGACTCTGTGCTCTGTGCTCAGGGCTCACTCTTGGCAGGTTCACGGGACCATATGTGGTGCCGGGGATCAAACCCGTGTTGGCCACATGCAAGGCAAAGTGCCTTACCTTCTGTAATATCTCTCCTGCAGAGTTCAAGTCTGAAAATGACTTCAACGGGAATAATATTAACAACAGATTAATGCGAACAGAATATCTCTTGGGGGTCCAGGGGTCACACCCAGTGAATCTCACTGGCTCTGTACTCAGGAATTACTCCTGGCAGCACTCAGGGGAACATATGGGATGCACACAATAGAACCTACTTCTGGCAAGGTGCAAGGCAAACACCTTACTGTTATACTACCTCACCTGCCCTAGAAAGTCCTTTGAAGAAAAAGCATATTAGATTTTTGCCAGAGACCAGCCCCAGCTGAGCAGGCCTGATCCAAGAACACCATGAGGACTAAGAAAGAGACAGAAATGGGAGCGAAAATCATGCAGTGAGGGGTTCACAACCTGTCCACTGAGCCCTGACTCTTCTTTGTGAATCATATTTATTACTTAGAATCCCTGATCATCAGAACAACATTCTTTGTGAAAATACCGAGAATTGTATATAATATTTATATATAATATACAAGATAGACTGTTACACATCCAAGGGATTAGTCCATGGGGGAAAAACATCTTTGTAATGGGCTTTCTCAATGGGAGATTCTTTCAGGAGTGGAAGTAGAGGAAGAGCAGAAACAGAACCCTCCCGTACACCACCCTCCCCCCCCACCCCCACCGGGGCAACATTCCATCGATAGTGCAAGTATTCTGGGTTGAAAGGTTCCATGGAGATCTAATAAGGCTCCCATAAAGAACTGAGAGGTCCCACAAGAACCTCTTGTCCATCTCCTTTATTTATGTAGTCCCCAACGGTTTTTTTTTCAGCATAGAAATGGCTCCTCTTGGAGTCAGGAAAGCCAAGGTAGTTTTGTGAGTTGGGGATATGGCTCAAGGGTAAGGCACAGTCCTTCCACATATGGAGGCAGGGGTCCATCCTGGCTGTGCGCGACATCATTTCAAGACATCTTTTTATGACTTCTTATTATCTCATTCATAGTTTGGACAAACTTGCAGGCTATCGAATGTAGCCTGCCCACAGGGCAGAGTCTGGCAAACTCCCCGTGGCGTACCAAATATGCCAAATACCAGTAACAATGATGGGTCTCATTCTCCTAAAGAGCCTTGAATATAATCTCAGGGCTAGGATGAAAGAGATGTTACTGGGGCCTGCTCGAGGAAATCGACGAAATAACCCATGTACTATAGCTCGGCCCCAGGAATAATACAGCTCTTTGGGAAAAGGGTGGCTGGGCCTCACAGTCAGAGTTTCTGTCTCAACTCCAGACTAGAGCCCAGGAATTCGCATTTCACTCAAGCTCCCAGGGTTTGCAATGCTCCTGGGTCAGGAGCCACTGCCCCTTAGCACCTAAAGCACCTTGGAATGACCAAGTGGGGCGGGGGCGGCAGCGGGGGTGGCTCTCTATGTTCCTTCGTGATTTCTGGGTTCTTCAATATTTTCAAGAATGAAAATAATCAGAGTTGGAAAACAGATAGTTTATGTAAAGTAGAAGAGAGAAGAAAAATCTCCCAAGTGGGGAGGAACTTAGTGTAGGGCTGAGTTGAAAGGGAGTTTTGCGTGTGTCCTTTAAAGGCTCCTTGCATTCCTTAGGGGTTGGCAAGAATTTACAAAAGTTGCCAGAAAATTATAATGCTGTTTAGCTGGTGTATATCTTTCTGGGCATTTCTGTCCCATATCTTAGTCTCCCTGTTGGCCTAGCTCCAGAATAGATTTGTATGGTCCTGAAAATGTCCAGGACCGCCGGGGCAGGACTTTGGCAATGAAATGTGTGTCAGGTCGTGGGGGAAAGGTGGCAAGGGGAAACTGAGGCTTCCTTCTTCACTGGCAAGGGGAAACAAATCCTCCAGGCCTAATTGCCAATTATCTCAGTTTCCCCATCAGCCTAGGCTCCAGGGCAGAGTTTTAGGTTCCCGGGAAGCCCAGG